GTGGGACTATGCAGTGGGATCTATGCGGTTGCCCAGCGCACGAGCCGCCCACGGGACCCCCACGGGCAGCCACGGTTGGGCACCGGGCGAAGCCGCGGCTGCACGCACCTAGCGCACAAGGCGCCCACGATGCGGCCATGGGCGGTCACGGGCGGGCAGCTGGCGAGATTTCCGCACAGCCGTCAGCACACGAGACGCCCACGAGGCCCGCGGGTGGGCACCAGGCGAGGCCTCAGCACACAGTTGTTTGAAGGAGGGGAAGGGATCACCCCATTATGCACGTCATGCTTGCGTGGAGTCAAGGACGTACACCATTGACATCGGGATCCAGCCATTCACCAATAACCTTCACCAACTTGCATCAACAGCGCATAGCGATAACATCCATGTGTGCAGGCAGGTCTGCGTCCCATACTTTCGTTTCAGATTCCGTTCAAGCTGTACGCATGTTCGTGTATGTTTGTTTTCTTGTCTCACACTTGCCTGGTGCTACTGCGCCAACCTGTGACGCCCCCGCTGGCGACCTCTGTCGGCCAGGTATACCAATCATCAAGCACATATGATAACATGTTCCAGGCGACATGCACCAATAAAGTTTGCTAATCCCAGTCGAGCCGTCAACAAGAACATACACCAACACCACGAGTAGAGAACACTCGCGCATATCAGGCACCAATACTACACAGCGGCCGCCCACGCCAGAATGAGACACCAGTAAGATAAGCACACAATATCATAGCAACGCCCAGGAACACACCAAGAGAGACAGCTTCAAAATGCAAGAGTACCGTGCGTTCATAATCTGCACCAGCAGTTCACATCACCAACAATTAATGTTGATGTCGTACTTCGACAATGGACACCAAAACCAGCCACAAATACCCTACACCATTAACTCATAGATCAATAACAAACGCCCGGAGCAGTACGTACCCTTACTACCGATCGTTTTATTCAATGTTCTACGCCAAGAAAGGTTGAAATCATCAAATGTCAACCACGCATATCCATATGTTTCACCAAGCGCGTACGTATAGCAATACAATACCAAGCTCACACCAGTTGCATACATATACTACTTACATGTTCAGATTCTCAAGCTCCTGGGCGTTTTTTTTTCTGGACGCAACATATGTGTTAGTTGTGTATCTCTTGGGCATGGTTTGGGGCCTGGGGCCTGGTGCACGCCTGGGCAATCTTAGGGCTGCTGGGGGCCGTCTTCGGGCGCTATTGTGTCGTCTGACCTTTGAACGCCGTTTTTTGCCCGCCCGAGGCCATCTTCGGTCCTCTTGGATCAGTTTAGGGATATCTTCGGTATTATTTGGGCACCCTTAGGATTCTCTTGACCCTTTCGGGGTCATTTCGGGAGCACTAGAAGTTTGGCAAGCCAAGCACGCCTCCGCAGTCTACAGGGATGGGGAGCGGGGCGGATACCTTGTGGACTTCCGCGCCTCCCACCACCGTGCTTGGGTTTTGCAGCCTCGCAGAGGCATATTGGGGTTCTTTGGAGGCCTCTTAGGAGCTTCGGCCTTTTTGGAGGCCACTTTGGTGGCCTCTTAGACTCTTTGACGCCCCTTGGAGGTTTCTTGGGGCTTCTTGCGGAGCCTACTTCGGGGGCTACCTTGGAGGACAGGCCTCGAACGTTTCCCCCCTTTTGGGCCGTCTCTTGGGAGGTTCTGGGCGCTCTTTAGGCATGTTTTGATTTGGATCCAGGGGCTGTTCTTGGGTGATCTTTGGGGCCTGTCGGCCGTGTCGGGCACTGTTCATACAAAACATTGCTCTGCGGTCTCCTTCTCCCCCTCCTGCCCTCCCACTGCTTGCGTTGGGCACCAGTGCGAGTCCCGCTGGCTAGAGCTAGCTGGTTACGCACGCGCGAGTTTCCCTTTCGTGGGTCGTGCCTTGTTTCACTGTTCTTCCTCCTTGAACTGCTTCCCGCCGGCGCCAGTCCTGGTTATTTCGGGCACGCTCGCAGGTCAGGCTGCTCGCATGTCGCCGATCTACCTGCAATGCATTGCATTGCCCATCTTTTGGTCTGCGTCTTCCTCGTTCTTATCGATGCGCTTCGACGGTAACACATGTGACGTAGAGGACTGGTACTATAGTGTGCATTAGACGCGCAGCACTCGTCACTCGTCTGGGGAGCACTTCGCCCCTGGGTCACGTTTAAGGGGCCCGCTGTCGTCATTCAGATGTTGCGCGAAGCAAAAAACAAAAACAACATTGAACCCATGTGTATGCATACATGTATATATATATATATATACATGTATATGTGCATGTTCGTTCATGTATGCATGCATGTGTGTATGTATGTAAGTATGTATGCATGTATTGAATTATCTATGTATGTATGTTTGTATGCTTGTATGCATGTATGTATGTATGTATGTGTGCGCGCCATGCTCCTTTGTCCTTCACGTATAACATGCAGGCAGACTGAGAGTGAGGCACATCAATCAAATCAGCGTTCGCTCTTGGTTGCAGTTGTCGCCGTCACCGTTATCATATTGTTGTTATGTCTCCTTCTCTCATGTGTCCTTTTCCTCTTCCTCTCCCTCGTTCTCGCCTTCATTGCCCCGCAAACCCTTCCCCGTCCTCCTGATATTTGTTTGCTGAGGCTCTTCGGAGGCGAGCTTCTGGAGGACATGCGAAATCTTTTTCAGGGCTTCTTGGGCGCATCTGGAAACGCCCCTGGCCCTTTTTGGTGGCCTCTGGGGGGTCCTCGGGCCACCATGCCACGAACCGTGGTCTCGGGTCACGGTTTGAATGCTTCTGGAGGGCGTCTTGGGCCAATGTTGGGTCGTCGTGGGGTTGTTTGTGGACGATTTCTGAGCCTTATTGGGCCGTCTTGGGGCTTTCTTTGAGCGTCGGGAAGTTTATTTTTGGTCGTCTAGGGGCGGTTTTCGGTGCCTTTTTCGGGCGTTCTCGGACGGCCGGAAGACTGAATAACCGAGTTGCCCAATACCGATGGAACATTTATTTGAAAATCAACGATTTCTGCGTTTGGAAGTTCCTTGGGCGTGATCTTTGGGCCGTCTTCGGGCGTCTAGCTGTGGTCCGGGGCCTCTGAAGGCCATCTTGGACCGTCTCGGGGTCTCTTGGGACTGCCGCCGACCCGTTTGCACGGCTTCGCAAGGCTCTCCAGAGGATCCACATCTCACGGGACTCTCCCATGGGGGCGTCCAGGAGCCCCAGACGCCGGATCTCGATTCTCGGCGGGGGGTTCCGCACCCCCGGAATAGATTCGAATCTGTGAGAGGGAACGCACGTGCCAGGAGCATGTAAGACGCCAGGTCGCGCTGCTATTGTGAAGGCCTGACGGCCTGTGCCGCCGACCCAGAAGGACGACGACGACGACGACCACGACGACGACTACGACTACGAGGACGACACGACAACGGCGAGCTGATGACCCTGCCGCAAGCTCGGGACATGGGGCGGGCGGTGGAGGGAGGAGGGGGAGGAGGAGGAGGAGGAGGAGGAGGAGGAGGAGGAGGAGGAGGAGGAGGACGAGGAGGAGGGAAGGAAGAGAGGAGGAGGAGGAGGAAAAGGAGGAAAAGGAGGAGGAGGAGGAAGAGGAGGAGGAGGAGGCGGAGGAAGCGGAGGAGGAGCAGGAGGAGGAGGAGGGGGAGGATGAGGAGGAGGAGGAGGAGTTGGAGATAGAAGAGGAGCAGGAGGATGAGGAGGAGGCGGAGTTGTTGTTGGGGTTGGAGGAGGAGGAGAAAAAAGCAAGGGGGAGAAGATAGCACCTTCTCTGTCTCACTCTCGCCTCTCCCTCTCCAGGTCGGTCTTGAGCTGCGTTCACTCGTAGGTGCGCGCTAGTGTGTCCTGCTCGACTGGACCTTTTCATGCGATGCGAGGAGGAGGAGAAGGAGGAGGAGAGCCGTGTGTCTCCTCGGGGGCGGGCGTCTGGGAGGCGACGGGGCTGGGGCCAAGGCCGAGGCCGCCGCCGGGGCCGCGGCCGGGGCCGCGGTCGGGACCGGTGCTGGAGTCGGGGCCGAGGCCGGGGCCGGGCCCGGGGGCTAAGGCCGTGGCCAGCGGGAGCGGGGGGCCGGGGCTGGGGCTGGGGCCGGGGCTGGGGCCGGGGCTGGGGGACAGGGCCAGGGCCAGTCCGGGCCAGGAACGGGGTTGGAGCGGGGGCCAAGGCGAGGGCACGGTTCCTGAGGGAGACCAGATTTTTTGCCGCGTCCTGCGGCATTTCTTGGCCGCCAGAACGCCCGAGGGGGAGTCGTACCTGCCCGGGGACCCGCCCGAGACACCTCCCCCCCCCCGGGACCCCGCCCCCGGGACCCCCCCTCCCCCCGGCGGGGGCGGGATCGAAGGCAAGCGGCGCTTTTCCGACTCAACTACAACGTTGCTGAATTACCAGTCAAACGGACAGGGTCGGCGGCGACAGGGTCGGTGGATTTTGGCCTCTCCTGGCCGGGCCAGCCCTTTCAAAAACGGCCCACGATGGTCTCGGGCAACTGGATCGGTGGCCCCCGTATCAGACCTGGTCGACCGATTGGTTTGTGGCTGTCGCCCTTCAGGGCCAGTGCCGCTGTCTGGGCCCCCGTCCGTTCAATTGCGGTCCCCCTGGGGGTCCCTGGGCACCACATCGCGGGGCCTCTGCCCGGACGAGAGGACAGGGTGGCTTCAGGGAGCGCGTTTGTGCGTGAAGGTTGCGCGGCTCCTGATCTCTGTGCCACATGACGCGCACACGCGCCATCATGGACCACCCGTTGGAAACTAGGTTGTACATCTGGGCCGCATTCCCCCAGCAGGGTACATTTCGATCTCATCGACCTGTTTTGATATCGATTCCTGGCGGATCTATATATTTCGATATTGATCTGCGACGATCCGGTGCGGCGCGATCCTTTCATGGCGTTCATGCGCATCCTTGCGCGATTCGATCCGATCGATTTCGACGCCTTGCCAACGCAGCCCGACTCAATGCACGTTTCGAACTGATTCGGCTTCCGATCCGATCTTGGTTCGAACCATCCCCCCCTCAACAGGCAGGCGAGCTACGTCGTCCAGGACCCCGCGTTCGCGCTCGGCGTCCCGCAGGTGCTCGTCGCATTGGAGTTGGGCGGAGGAACGCCTGGCGCCCGCTGACGTCGACGACGACCGACGACCGACGACGATGGCGACCGACGCCATCCGACGCCGACGTCGACGACGGAGGATCGACACCGACTTTTACGACGACGAGACGACGGCGAACGTCGACGTCGGGTTCTTCGGCGTTTCTGACGCCTTTTTTTCGCCACGGCTGGACGCGGCCCGGAAAGCTGGCCATGATATCCCCGGGATGGTTTAGGAACTGGCTTTCAGCGGATTTTGTTCGGTGGCAGGGACGACGACGGCGACGACCACGACGAGCTCCACGACCACGACCACGACGGGAGGAGTAAACGTATGAGAGAGACGAGGAGAGGGAATGGGGGAAGAAGACGGTGGAGGTGGGGGAATGATGAGAAGGAGGGCTGGGAAGAGAAACGAGGAGGATGAGAAGGAGTGGGAGGAGGGGGGGCGAGACGAATGAACGGAGTGGGGAGGACGACTGACGCAGGCAAAGGGAGGGAGGAGTTAGGAGAAATGTGGAGGACAGGAGGGAGTGGAGGCGACAAACGGGAAGAGAGATGTGTTCCGCCTTGCTCAGTCCTGGCTGTTGTTGCTCCTCCAGAAGCTAGCCGTTTGGGTTCGACAGAGCAGCAATTCTGGTTCTGGCCTCCTCTGCCCCTCCCTTCCTCTTCTTTCCTGCTTCTCCACCGCTCCGCCCTCCCCTGCTCCTCCCTCCCTCTCACCCCTCTCTTTAGCCGCCGACCGTCGGCCTCAGCAGCAGTTGCCGGCGCGTGCGAAGACCACGTGGCGATGCTCAGCCCAAGAGGCACAGCCGACCCTCACAGTCCGGGAGGAGTCTTCAGGCCAGCAGCCGGGGGACCAATGGCAGATTCGGCAAATGTACACACACACACACCCTCACCACCGCCTTCTCCTGGAGTGCAATCGTCGCCACGGCTGGATCCGCCGAGGAGTCCTGGTCCGACCGCGCCCCGGGAGAGGTCCAGGAGTCGTGGTATCGTTGCCCCTTTGACTCTACCACATGCTGCGGATGTGGTGAGTCCCATCCTTCTTCCGTCACGTGCCATGCTTCGCGGCGTCTTTTTGCAGGCCCTGGACTAACAAACAACGTCCCGCGAGGAAAGTATTTCGAGGGAAGTCCCCAGTTCCAGGACCCATTTCCACCAATGCTTCTTCGTCTCATGACAAGCCGCTCCTCTTCTCCATTGTCGAGGGCGCAGAGCTTGACACCAACACCAATATCTGCGGTGTGCCTCCACCGAGGGAAGATGCACCCAATCTCGGTGATGGTGGTAATGTTCGGGCTTCTAGGTGGCCGACTTATCGCCACCAACACCGAAATCTAGGATCACCTTCCCCCTGAGGAGGCAAACCCCTGTGTTGGGGTTGGTACCCTTTTCCAGGCCTCCATTGTTTTCCCATCCCTCGTTCCAATCTCCGCCATCCCCTCTCACATACTCCCTCACCCGCCTCCTTCCCTGCTCCCTTCTCCTCTTTTCTTTCATTCTCCCTCCGTCCTCATCCCGCCCTCCTCTCGCTCCTTTCCTCACCCCATTCCTTCTGCCCTACCTTCCCTGCCCCCTTTCATTCCTCACCCCTTTCCTCCAATCCTCCCTGCCCGGTCCGATAGCTCCTCCCATCCCATCCCTTCTATCTTCCTGCCTCTCCCTGTTACGAGTCATTCAATGCGGATGTGTTTCTTCTTTCCCTCGAGGGTCCGCACGGCCAGACTCGCTGAGCTCATCAATAACGGCCAGAATAGCATACTGACGAAGATCAAAGGGGACAGGTTGTCCATCTGGGGGGGGCGGAGGCGGATCACCACGCAAGCGCCCCTCGCCCTGTCATCACGCGAGCGCCCCTCGCCCTCCGTGCCCTCACCCTCACACGGAGGGGGAAGGGGCAGGAGGGACCTCCCGATGCAAGAATCGAGGAAAGGACGTGCCAGCGCCCAGAAGGCACGATGTTGCAGGTGTGGGGGGAGGAGTGTGGACCCACATTTGGGGCGTCGTGGTTCTCCTATTGGGAAGGCCTTTCGGCCAGTGCCGCCGACCCTGACAGGGCTCATTTCGATTCCTCCGATCCGATCCGATTCGATTCCGATGGCTTCCGCTTCCGATTCGACTTGGGATTCCGATTTGGGTTTCGATTTCTGAATGAAAGCGTATTAGTCTACCGATTCCTGCCGATTCGACTTCTCACGACTCGGATGCCGATTTCCGCCGATCCGATCCACTTCGATCGCCGATCCGTCCGGCTTACCGATTCGATTCTGAGCTCTCTTGCATTGAATGGGGACGACGACCACGACGACGGCGTCGGCGGCGACGACGTCGGTGACGTGGGCCTGAGAGTCCTTAGGGATGCTTTGTGGGGCCTCTTCGAAGCGCGCTCGTAGGCCAGTGGGTGCAGTGTTGCGGCCTCTTGGAGACCATTTCTTTATTGGTTGGGGCATGACGGGCGTCATGGCCCCCGCTCCCCCCCCCTATGACGTGACGCTCCCCCCCCAGTGCGCTCCAGGTTCTGCCGCCGTGCACGCTGGGATCCGCGTAGGTGTCCGCGTAAGAATCCGCATAGGAGTCTGGTCCGCAGTCGTCGTCATCGTCGTCGTCGTCGTCGTCGTCGTCGTCGTCACTCGTAGCTCGTCGCTCATCGTCGTCGTGCGCGCGGACGCGGCTGGAGCCTGTTATTTGTTCTGGGCCGATCGCGGCAGTCATTTGAGGGGGTGTGGAGGGGGTCGATGACATCATGTTTCGCGCCGGCGGCGTCTGGGAATGCTTAGTAATGACGGAGGACGGGTAGCACCAGCATGTAGGTGGCGATCTGCACCAGAATGCTTGTGTACACCGCAGTGCCTGCGTGCACAACAGCGCCTGTGTACACCACGCCGCCTATGTACACCACGGCAACCGCGTGCAACACAGCGTCAGTTTGTGTCACCGTGCTCGCGGGCACAACCGCTGTTGTGTACACCGCAGCGCCTGCGTACACCACATCAGCCGTGTGCAGCACAGCACCAGTGTACACCATTGTGCCTGCGTGCATTGCAGTGCCTGTGTACACCACGGTGCCTGTGTGCACCACAGCAGCCGTGTGCAACACAGCACCACACTTGCATCTCGAATGTTAGAAAAAATCCGTATGTCAAAATGGAGCGCTTTTGGATTTTAAACAGACAATACAGAAGGAATCCTTATGGACAAAGGAGCGCCGCTGGAATCTACGAGTTCCCCCGAGTCCGCCCGCATCACCCTAACTTCTCCCATCTGCGTCCAGGAGGCTCCAGCGAAATTGGCCGTGCGAGAACCAAGTGGACCGATTTAATAAACCATTATGCGGTGCACTGAGCGCTGAATTGCGCACGGTCGCTGTAGCGCCGCCCCGCACGACAGGCGGTAAGGAGGAGGAAAAGGAGGAGGAGGAGGAGGAGGAGGAGGAGGAGGAAACGGAGGAGGAGGAGGTGGATGTGGAAATGGAGGCGGAGGAGGAGGGAAGAGGGAAGAACGCTGTCCTGCACGCAGGCACTGGTGTACAGCCGCGCTGCGTTGCACGCGGGTCCTGTGGTGTAGACAGGCGCTGTGGCGTGCACAGGCGCTGCGGTGCACGCAAGCATTGTGGTGTACACAGGCGCTCTGTTGCACATGGTTGCTGTGGTGTACACATGTACACCGTCGCTGTAGTGTACGCAAGCACTGTGGTGTACACAGGCGCTGCGTTGCACACGGTTCTTGCGGTGTACGCAAGGGTCGTGGTGCACGCGCGCGTTGTGGTGCACGCGAGCGATGTGTACAAAGGCGCAGTGGTGCATATCGCCACCTACATTTTGCTCGCGTCGTCGTCGTCGTCGCTCGTCGCTCGTCGCTCGTCGCTCGTCGCGTCGTGCGTCGTGCGCGCGGGCGCGGCTGTTGTGCTGGAACCACACGGCGGGGGGGGCGTTACGTCATACCCCCTCCCTCCCCCCCCCATGACGCTCGCCATCGCCGAGCATAAAGAAATGCTCTCTTGGGATCATATTCGGGGCCTCTTGGGATTGTTGGGTGCCTCTTGGGGGCTCTTGTGGCCTCGTGGGGGTTTCTTGGGGGCCTCTTGAGGCCTCCTGGGAGCTTCTTGGGGCCGAGGGCTCGACATGTCCGTTCAGGCTCCCGTGCAGGTATCTTCTTGGAACCGTTTTGCGGGCCTTCTGGGAGGCCTGTAGGGCCGTCTTGGGAGTCCTTGTGGAAACCTCTTGGGGGCCTTTTGTGCCGATCTTAGTGGCATGTTGGGCCCTCTTGGGGCGTCGCGAAGCCGAAAAGACGAGAACGCCAGAAGCTTTCCAAAACGTAGAGCAATCATTAAGTCTGCCTGGTGGGGCCATCTTGGTGTGCTCTTGGAGGCCTATTCGGGAGTCTTGGTAGCCGCTTGGGCTGTAAGGATACCATTTTTGACATCTTGGACCACTTACTCGGCGATTCGGGGCCCTCTTGAACCGTCTTGGGGGCCTCTTGGGCTGCCTTGGGGCTCTCTCGGCGCCAGGACCTCCCATGCGAGGATTGCATTCTGACCCAGGATCCCTCCTGGGAGGACCCCCGCCACCCCCCCAGAGTGGAAGGGATCACAAGCAAGGGGCTTCCCTTGGACTCAATCATGGCGTTGCTCAGTTGCGTTTTGGTTTCACTTTGGCTCGCTCGCTTGAGGAGGATGGCCCAGTGAAAAGGGGGGGAACGGCGAAAGGCCCAGGGAAAGAGGGGTCACACGCGACGACGACAAGGACGACGACGACGACGACGACGACGACGACGTCTCCGTCGACGTCGACGTCGACGTCGAGTCAAACAGAACAGCGTCTCCCACACGCCGACAGGGTCGGCGGATCTGATGGCCCCGTCCCCGCCGCGGGCACAATTTTTGGTGGCCCGCTGAATTCGGGGGGTGGGCTGGTCGTGGGCCGAAGCGGCGCCCGCGGTCTCTCTGCTCTTTGCAGCGCCAGAGGGGCCCCGTGGCATCGCGGGTCGAGGCTGTTCTTCAGCCCCCCTGAGGCCCGGGGAGGCGCCCGGAGGCCACGGCCGGGCTTGGCACTCGGAGCTTGCCAGGAGGGACCCAGGGAGGGGTCCGTGGGCCAGCTGCGAGCGCTGCCTCTTCGAGCCGCGCCCCACCGCGGTAACGCGAGCCCCGCGGAAGCATGCTCCCAAGAACCCTGCGGAAAGACGGCGGCGTCGACGACCCCGTCGTCGTGCGCCCTCGTGCGCACCGCCAGTTGGGTGTACAGCGGGAGCCCATGCCAAGAAGCCCTCGATTACCTCCAGGGTGCCTTGGGTATCTTGGGTTTCGACGGGTTTGCCATGGGAGGCGTGACGTTCCCACGCCAAGAATCAAGGGACGCCCTGGGGGTTCCAGGGTTGGGTTGCTTGTGGAAGGTTTCTTGTGGTCTGGCCTCCACTGTAACTAAGTGTATGCGTCGGCCCCCCCGCCATCGGCACCAAGATCGTGAACCTGTTCTGCAGCGAGGACGCCTCCCCGGCGGCGGCCGCCGCGGACCAGGGCGGCGGCGCCGCCGCCGACGAGCAGGACCAGCCCCTGAGGGGGAGCGGCGGGGTCGAGGAAGCCCCCTCCACGCCGCCGCCGAAGGGGCGAGGCGGCAGCCTCGAGGTGCCTCTGCCGCAGAGCGCGCTGGACACGCGGCCGTCGCTCAGGAGCTGCCAGACCCGCACCTGGGGGCCAGGCTTCGGGCTCCAGCGCCGTCGGAGATCAGCACCGTCATAATCTGTAGGGTGACGAGTTCTGCCCCTGGCCAGGCTTACGGTTGACGTTGCAGAGATAGCGCACGATGTAGCGCCGCTGGCCCGCTCAGTACACGCTGTCCCCCCACCTTCGGTATAGCGTGCACCGAGGAGGCCCTGGCAGGGGGATAGCGTGCACCGACGAAGGCCTCGCAGGGGGATAGCCTGCGCAGAAGTGGCCCTCGCGGGTGATCGCCTCGCAGGGATCGCGTCCTCTTCACTGATCGATGTTGCACGCCATCTTTGCGACGCCAACCGTAGGTTGGGCTCAGTAGCGGTGTAGACAACCTCCTGGTTCGGCCAGCGAGGTATGTTCACCGATCTTGGGCCCCAACAGTAGCGGTGTATACACACTCTTGGTTCGGCCAGGTAGACCTGTTCACCGATCCCCGGTTTTAGGATGGGCATTGCGAGGGGCGGTGTATATGGGATATGGGTAGATCTCGTCATCCGAACTTGTTCCCCCCCTCGAGGTGGGGATGGTTGCCGCGAACCCCCGGCAGGACCAGCACCTATCCCCATCCAGGGGACTAGGTCCGTCGGCGGGACAGGGTTTCGCAGTGGGGTTGGGGATAGGTCAAGGGCGCCCTCGAGGGCGCGAAGTTTTTCGCGCTTCGCTGTTCGGCTCCGATTCCTCACCCTCCTCTTCTCCCTTGGGAGGCGGCGCGAGAGCGCGAAGTTATTCGCACTTCGCGCTTCGCGCAGCGCGAAGCGCGAAGTTGGGAGCCCTTGGATAGGTCGAACGATGCCGAAAAGAGTGACTCGGGAATTCGTGACTTCGGGGGGGCGTTCTGAAAAGATCACGACGTTGGAAGCGAGTGATCCGACCACGCCATGCGTGTTCTCCTCGGATCCGAGGTCGCATTGAAAGAGTGGACAGCGGGTGTGCTCGAGGAGTGCCGCAGACAAATTTCGGTCGAGGCTCCGCTGATAGAACGGAACGGTTGCCCCGTTCACCCGCTTAAGTTGCGCGAGTGGAAGTGATATGCTCGAGACGTCCATCGTTGTAAGAATTCCCCAACGATGCATCATACTCCTGGTGTCCTAACACCTAACATGAGAAAGAGCGTGTTCTGCCGCTGCTGGCAGAAAACCAGGGGGGGTCACTGGGGGACTGGTGGGGATAGTGGTTGGGACGGTGGTGGCGATGGTGGTGGGGAGTGGGGACAGTGGGATAGTGGTGGGGACAGTGGGGACAGTGGGGAGAGTGCGACAGTGGTTGGGGGCACTTGCGGGGACAGTGGGGACAGTGCGACAGTGGTGGGGGCACTGGTGGGGATAGTGGGGACAGTGGTGCGAAGACTGGGGACAGTGGGACAGTGGTGTGGACAGTGGGACAGTGGTGAGGACGGTGGTGGTGGGCACAGCCGCGAGGGGACAGTGAGATAGTGGTGGGGACAAAGGGGACAATGGGACAGTGGTGGGGACGGTGGTGGTGGGGACAGTGGTGAGGGCGGTGGTGAGAACGGTGGTGAGAACGGTGGTGGGACAATGGAACAGTGGTACAGTGGTACAGTGGGACAGTGGTGGGGACAGTGGGACAGCGGTGGGGACAGCGGTGACAGTGGGGAGAGTGGGACAGCACAGTGAGACCGCGGTGGGGACAGTGGGGACAGTGGGACAGTGGCGGGGACAGTGGGGACAGTGGGATAGTGGTGGGGACAGTGGGGAGAGTGGGACTGTGGTGGGGACGGTGGTGGGGGCAGTGCGGACAGTGCGACAGTGGTGGGGGCACTGGTGGGGACAGTGGAACAGTGGTGGGGACAGTGGGGACAGAGGGACAGTGGTGGGGACAGTGGGGACAGTTGGGACAGTGGTGGGGACGGTGGTGGTGGGGACTGTGGTGAGGGGAAGGACAGTGGGATAGTGGTGGGGACAGTGGGACAGTGGTGGAAACGGTGGTGGTGGGGACAGTGGTGAGGGCGGTGGTGAGGACGGTGGTGGGAACCCGGCAGTCGTTTGCCGGCCGGCGGGGGGGGTTCGAATTGGTAGTGACCCCTCCCGGTTTTCCGAAAGGGGGGTGGGGGGTGGGGCGGGGTCGTTTTGCTAGGGGAAGGGGGGGGTGAAAGGGGTTCGAGCAGGGGGGTGGGTGGGGGATTTTCGGAGGGAGGGGGGTGCCAGGGTTTTGGAGGAAGAGGAGGGGGAATTGTCCATAGCAGAGCGGCGGTGGATCACGCTTTCTCTAAAATGGGGAGGCGTCTTGCGCATGGGGAACATTATGTTCACTCGGGTTGAGCATATTCTCGAGAGTGCCCACAACGACTTCGGTGTCGAGTTCGGTGTTGAAAATCCACGCAGGGCCCGTGACTTATAGATGATTGGTGGGGGACTCGGCAGACAAATCCTTCAATGGCAGAAGAATCCTTCAAGATTTGTGCACTGCGTGGAGGTTTTCAATTATCATGTTGTGCCGTTTGCTTCTGTCCCTGCGCAGCGGCACTCTCCGCGGCAGGGGCGTGTGAGGCGGTTTCAGGTCTCCGTTGGGTGTGCAGAGCAGTTCTTCGTTCGGGCATTATCATGTTGCCTCCGGCCAGCCCCACCACCGTGCATGTGCAACAGCTTAGCAGGAAGGATATTTACTTCAGGACCCGCTCAAACTCAGACAGGGTGCTGAACCCTTGAACACCCCCTCCTTGTTTGTCTGCAGCGTCGTCCCTACTTCCCTCGTTCTCATGCTTATTCGTTTTCCTCCTCCTCCTCTTCCTTTTCTTTTTCTCTTCGCAACATGTTTGAAGCTCCTCTGGGGCTTCTTGAGGGCCTCTCGTGAGCCACTTAGAGTTTTTAGGAGGGCCTGTTTTGTTATGTTTGGGGGTTCTTGGAGGCCTCTTGGTGCCTTGTCTGTTTGGAATCTTGGGGGCAGTTTTGGAGGGAACGGCCCTCGAGGCCAGCTCGATCTCCCCCTCGTGGGCCTCAGCAGTCTTGGGGGCCCCTTGGACTGTCTTGGGGGCCTGGTTCGCCGTCTTGGGACCCTTTTGGGTCGTCTTCGGATCCTCTCAGGCCGTCTTGGAACCGTCCTGGGCTGTCTTGGTACACCCTAGGCGATGCTTAAGAAAACCTAAGTTTTCGTCCAGAGTCTCGATTATTCTTAATTTTCCAATGTAAATCCCAAGATTTTGATAGAAGTTCTGGGTTTTATTCAATTTCTGAGACTGTGAATTTCTTAACCCATGATTTCTTGAGCATTTCGCAGGGTGCACCCTCCTGCGGCCCTCGTGGGTTGTCTTGCAGCCTTCTTGGGCACACTTTTGCACCGTCTCGGGGCCCCAGAGGCCGGCAAGGGTCACTATGTACAAATCGTCTCCTATACCATTGCCATGCGCCCAAGCCGAAGCAAGGTGTTTTGCCTCCTGCGGGCCTCCGGGGCGCGCTCTTGGGGCCCTCCTGGAGCGTCTTGGAGACCTCTTGAGGACCTCTTGAGTTCGTCTCTGGGTACCTTGAGTCGGGCCGGACGAAATGGAGGGATAGGGAAAGAGGGGGGGTTACGAGATTTGCTGCATGCAGCTGGTTTCGGCCCCACCGAGGGGCCCATTCCTCGATTCATAGCCGCCTCTGGCGCCACGTGAGCTGATTCTCAAACCCCCTCTTTGCTATACTATCCCCCCCTTTCGCCCGGCCCGGTTGAGGCCCTTTAGCACCCTCCCGAGGCATTCTTTGGCAGTCCTGGGTTTGTCTTGGGGGCCTTTTGGGCGGCCTTGGAGCAGTCTCGGCTGCCTTGTGGCCGTCTTCGGGCCGTCTTGGAGCTGCCTGGAGGCCAGGAGAGAATGCGGGAGAGCGATCTCAGAGGAGTGATCTTCGGAGCACTCGTGCTCCGCAGGGGGGTGGGCGGGCGGGCCTCGGAGGCACTGAAGAAGCCTGACCAGACAGCACGGGACCATGACCATTCTAAGAGACGCCCTCTCCGTGCGGCTAGGGCAGCTGTCGGTGGAGCACGTCAGCTCAGAGCCCCGAATCATCAGGGGTAACTCGGGTCAGGGGTAACTCGGGTCAGGGGTAACTCGGGTCAGGGGTAACTCGGGTCAGGGGTAACTCTGGAATCCAAACCCGAGTTACCCCGGTCCCGAGTTACCCCGGATATTTCGGGCGCCCAATCAGCACGCGACTGCGAAGAACGCGACTGTGAAGCATAGAGTGGTGGCTGCGGATCCTTCCGTTGGTGGCAAATCTCGGTGACAGGCAGGTCGATGGATGGGAGGAACACACTTCGTGACACGCTCGTCGTGCGCCTGTGAGTCGTTTCGGTCGTTACCCTGCGCCTGCCGTGTCACCTTATGTTGCCGTCTGGTCGAAGTTATCTGAGCCCATTTCTAATTGACGCTCATCGCGACTTAGCATGTTCAGCGTACTTCTCGTTCGCCTCGCTCACCTGTGATCGAAGGCTCCTGTGTAATTTGCAGGAAAGGGGGGCAGGGATGAGAAGAGAGGAGCGCTGGGCGAATGCAGGAGAGGTGGGCGAATTCGGATGGGGAAGGAGGATGCAGGATGACGGGCGAACGTAGGGGGATCACTTGGTAAGAGGGGATGAGTTGCATGAGTGTGGATGGGCATGGGTTGGCCTTGCCAAGGAGGAGCAAGGCTAAGAGTCTGGATTCCTATGACCTGAGCATGCTGGCGTCCGTTGACACTGGCAACATCCCTTGCATCGTTGACCCGCGCATCCTGAGAGCCAATTTTACCAAGAAGGGTTCTGCCCAGAAAATCGAATTACGGGTGCGTGTCGCGAAGGCAATCCGTGTTTGAGTTTTTGTTGGCCCATTGACCCACCGTGTGTGGGTTGTGGATGATAATCCTTTCGCAGGCCTCCTGGGTTTTTTGGGGTGGCCTGTTCGAGGCCTCTTGGGAGCCGTTTGGGGGCCTCGTGGTCCTTGCTGGCGGTTTCGGATGCCCTCTTGGGGAAGAGGGTTCCTGTCGGGGGGTCCTCCGTAAGGGCCTCCTGGGTTTCTGTCGGAGGGTTGAAATCGTAGGACCTGAGACGTTGTTGGCTGAGATGGTGTCGGCTTCTTTGGCCGGCCTTTGGGACAGTCCACCCCGTGCCTACGACACGGTGGCGGCAAGGTTTGATGTATTACGGTTGTTCCAAGACCCGTTCATGTAACGTAGCCCCAGGCAAAATTCGCTCTCAGACATCTGGTGGCGACACCCCATGCTGCGTTTGGTTGCCGTGTGGTCCATACTTTTCCTGGACTTCTTTATATATGGAGTAGACCCAGCGCAGGACTCGCACGTGACGTACCCGTTCTTTGGTGTGTTCGAAGATTTCTTCATCATCGCATGGCCTCAGAGGGTTGAGCACCAGATAAGCAGAATTGTATTATTCATCGTTCTCACAATGTTCAGCTTTTGGTTTGGGCGTATGGTTGTGCATCACAAATTCCTGAGAGATTTTTGTGGGCTCCAGATGTTCTCAGAGAACAACGGCACCCTGCTTGTGAATTTTATCGTGTATGTGATTTTTTTTGAGGGCGTCCTTCCTTTGCCAGTGAATTACATTGAGAGCGGGAGTACGGCAGAACCCGTGACAGAGCACTCCGTTCTTCGTTACATGGATTGGGGCAAAATTTGGCAGACTATGGCAGCTGTCGCCGATACGCTTGCCATTGTTACGATCACTGACGCTGTCATGCAAGACAGGACAGTGTGGCCTGACTTCGCCCCAAGGGTCAAGTGGCTTTGGAACGACGCTGCTGGTGGATGGGTCCGTGTGCTCATGGCATGGACAGGGTTCGTCATCATGATGCCGCTGATCGTGTTCGGCCTGTGGTGCGACGATAGGACCAACGGAATCTACACGATGGATCATGTTGATGTCCTACGTACAACGCAGTGGATGCGGGTGGCGGTTGCTGCATTTCTAACATGCGTGGACATAACCACCTGCTTGCAGGATTGGGAGTTCCCATCGTTCAACGCACCTCTTGATTTCAAGATTGTGGGCTCGTTCGCCACCACGATCGATATCCAATGCCTAACGGATCTAACGCGGCCGATATCAAAGGTCATCACGTGCATACCGGAAGATTTTTGGGAGGTCTTTCACTTCCGGATGTCAGGCAAGTGGCTTGCCTACATGCCTGCGTTCGGTTCTCTTGGTGTCGATCTGTACTACATGATCAGGACGATCTACTCGTTCAAACCAATAGCATTTGGAGAATACGTTAAGGATTGCCGGCTGTTTGTGATCGTGAACGAGACGTTCTTGGACAGCCTTTATCTGAATGGGGCGGTGCCAGCCAATGAAAGTGATTACCCTTCGTGGGAGAATCGCCAAGGCAGAGGGGACGTCCACGAATCCCAGGATCTGACTTTGCGAGAAAAACGCAGCAACGCTAGAAATCGCGACCAGAGGTTCTGATTTTGACTTTCTGCGGTGTCTCCCGAGCTGGATCGATCCACGAGGGCCCTTGAACCAGACACGTGGCGCAAATGCTCGGCGTGATGTTTCTACGGCGCCCAGGTCTGAGGATTCTCCTGTCCCTCCTCCCCAGGTCTCTGCACGGTCGCGTTCTGACCAGCATTTGAAGGTGGATCCAGCCGTGGCGAAGAGGTCCCTGAGCAGCAATCTGGCAGACCACGTTTCATTACGTTTCGTCCGACCCGAATTTCGAGGCCATTGCAGCTTGGGCGACGAGGGTACCCGAGCAAGTTCAGAACGGAACAAAATCGTCCAAACATTAAGGCGTGGATCTTCGACACTCTGGCTAATGTTCTCCCAAGGCGAAGGGGACGTCGTCCTCAATTCTCGCTTCTGCGGCAGCCACGACGCTTTGAGCGCGATGTTCTTGGGCTTCGGGCTGTTCGCGGGGATTGCCTTCATCGCCCTCATCATCAGGTGAGGGAGACGGGAAGGGCGGGGAAATGGGATCGAGGATTGGTTTTCACGATTCCACTCGCACCCCTCGTTTCCCCTCGTTTCGTCTGTTACCTTCCCTGCTCACCCCTTCCTTTAAGCTCCTCTGGCAGAGTGAAGGTGGGGGGAGGGATGGACGGTGATGAGGGAACGGTAGGAGCAATGGTTGTGAAGGAAGGAGGATACAGACACCTGGCCGCGCGGTAGAGTCGTGACCCCTGGTTTTGTACCACCCTGATCCTCTCCAGACAAGCTCCGGGGTCACTTCAAACGACGCAGGATGGAAAGCTAGTCCTGTGGAAGGTGTCGAAAGGTCCGGGGTGCCATGCATCGAAAACGAAGAGACGCCATTTTGTGTCTGGGGTGAGAGGCACTTCCCCTACCGCCTCCCTCTGCCTGTCTCCATGCCCACTCGGGCCGCATCTGACGGTTTGGCGACTTTGTGTTTCGCCGCAGGATTTTGTTGTTTGAATGTTGGTAGCCCGGTATTCTTCCCTCCCTCATCCACAGCGCCATCAGGGCCGAGTATTATTGGGATAATTACTTCACCCGGAACCAAGAAGGGCTTCACGACAGGATCAACACTTATTACGAGGAGGCCGCCGAGAAGCAGCGACAGGGCTCCGAAGGCGAACTTGGTGCGCAGGAATGAGTCGGGTGCGATCGAGGCCGTCGCCGATCGGGATGAGACGCAGCGAGGTGGAGATTGTCCACCGCTCTTCTGAGACATTGGCGGCCGCTCCGAACGAGTCCGAGAAGGAGGGGGTGACGACAAAGCCGTGGGTTTTTTCTCCGTTTCTTGAACGTCACATTCCGTGGGCTCTTCGGAGGCACGGATGAGTGGAGGAGTACGCGTACCCATCCGAGACCTCGCAGCTACCTGGGGGGTTGCGGACTGAGCAATTTTTGGCGGAGCGGATGGCGTACGTACGCGCACCCAGCCGAGACCTCGCAGCTCCCTGTGGGACCGAATTGCGCGACTCTCGTGTGCTCTTGGGAGGAACGGCTGAGTGGGGGGCGTACGCGTACCCATCCGAGACCTCGTACTTCTTTGGGGGACAGGGTTGAAGCCTTAGAGCTTGGGTCTTAGGGCTTTGGGCTCAGGGTTTAAAACTTGGGGTTCGGGTGCTAGATTCTTCGGCTTAGGGCTTATTGAGTCGGGCTTTGGGCTGAGGTGCTAGGGCTTATGGCTTAAAGGTTTAAGGTTTAGGACCTTGGGCTCAGGGTTTAGAGCTTAGTGTTTACATCTAAGGGTTTGAGGCTTAGGGGTTAGAGTTTTGGGGGGGTGACAGGGAGTCAGGCTTAGGATGTTAGGGGGTAGGGTGTTTGCGTTAGGGTGTTAGGCTTAGGATGTTTGGGGTAGGGTGTTACGGTGAGGGTGTTTGGCTTAGGGTGTTTTGGTTAGTGTGCTAAGGTCAGGGTGGTATGTCTGGGAGTACTGTGTTGGGGTATTGGTGTTAGGATAAGGGTGTTACGCTGAGGGTTTTTGAATTCGGGTTAGGGCGGTAGGGTTCGAAGTATAGTGTTAGGGCTAGGTAGGGGTAGGGTGTCAGGGTTAAGGCAGTCAAATTCGGGTTCGGATGTGAGGGGGTGTTGGGTTTAAGGCTCGGACATTAGGTTTAGGGGGTATGGATACAGAGCTAGGGGGGCGGCGTGGCCGAAGGGGGTCTGGGGTGTGAGTGCCCGACCGAAACTGAAACAATTGACAACCAACCAGCAGGAAAGGAAGGGGGCTCCCGAACCCCCCCCCTTCCTTGGAAAAGGGGATGGGTGTCCAGGACGACGGATCGGGAAACGTTGGGGGTGGGCTCCTGGGAAGTGGGGGCAGGCGGGGGGTCCTGGACCCGCCCCTTCTGAGGCATCCAGCCGCGCGCCCTCAGAGTATCAATGACACTCCAGGCCTCCCAGATGGGGTCGGAGTAACTGGGGTCGGAGGATCGCGCCGCATCGCCCGTGCATCGGCGGTGCGGCTTGATGTGGACCCCGACTTGCTTCACGTCGACGTCGCCGATGCATCGCCGACGTCGACGATGCGTCGCCGGTGCAGCCACGGTGCATCGCCGATGCATCGCCGATGCATCGGCGATGCGGCGCGCGCCTCCGAGCCCGTCTACTCCGACCCCATCCGGGAGGCCTCTGGACACGCCGCCGTTGGGCGTTGGAAGCTGATCGGCGTGTTACGGTAGGTTTGCGTCGTGTCGACCAGCGGCGACCCCAGCGCGGACGGTCAAGGTTGAACGCCGCCAGCGACCCAGAATCGATCGATGTTGAACGATCGGACGTTGCGGAGACGGCCGATCGTTCAAGGTTGAACGATCCAGCGCGGTGTCAAGAACCAACGCCAGGGTCGACACGGCACGGACCTGCAGTACTCTTTCGTTATTGTCCGAAGGTCCGGCATTTCTTCAACAGTCGCACGCTGATGGGCTCTCCCACGGCGGCGTATCATTGATACGCATGTTGCTCCCCTGAGCGGCCGAGGATGAGAAGCTGGTCAGGGATAAAGCTCCTCGGGTCAAGTGCCCATTTCCCCAAGGATCTTCTTCCTCCATGCTGAGTGAGACGTCGTCTCGGGTCGTACGACAGGCTTTTCGGGGAAAGGGGGGGTGCGACATTTGCTGCATGCCGCCGGCATCGTGGGAAACCAGTTGCATGGAGATGATTCGATAGCCCCCCATGTGCAGCCCCTCTTTTCGTCCAGCCCGATCCTTCCGCGGAGCGGCCGACAGACGGACCGTTTCCGCCGTTCGTCGCTCTTCCTGCTTGCCCCCTCCCGCTCCCTTGCCGCGATCCGGCGCCCTCGTGGGGGCTCTCGCGGGGCCGTCCTGCAGGATGATTGACGGCTCCTTGTTTCACCTCGCCCCTGTCACGAGCAGAAGGAGAATGAGGATGGATGATCGAGCTTTTTTTATCATTCTGGGTAGAGAGTGGCAGTTCGAGACCAGGTGGTGGGAAACTTCCATTACGTTCTGTTGGTGGGGATTTCCAACTGCCCCATGGGAACTTCCGTCACGGATTATTTTTTGGGGGGGTCCCGGGCCTCCCCCAAGGTTTCCTTGCCACGGGGGGCTCATTTTTCTCAATGATCCCTCACCCTCATAAGTTAGACGTTTTCTGAGGTGGGGCGTCGGGGACCTCCCCCTTGACAGTCTGCATCCGGCCCTTGGAGATTGATTCGTCCCATGCTAGACTGCATCCAGCCCACAGTGGCGCGGTGTGGCAGAGGGAAGAAACACAGTTCCCTGTCCTCATTGGGAAGGGAGGGAGGGGGGCAATTCGGCTTCCCTCTCTCTCTCTCCCAGATCCCCTCCCCCACCCCCACCCCCGCTCCAAAAGCCGCTCCAAAATGTCACATCGGTTTCATCATTTGGGCTACTGGACGAGTGCGGAGGAGAAGGAAGGGAGCCTAGCTTCCTGACGACTCGCAACACATGCGCAGGACTTCTGTTGCACGTAGTCCACAGTCCATGCGATTGCTTGCTGGCCCTGGGACTGTCCCGAAGCGAACCAAGATGCCATGTCGGCCCGGGAGAAGGGGTCCAGATGTCCGAGGGACGGCGACCCGACAATGTAGAGCTGTAGTGGATCTGGGCAGTGTGAGGCGGTGATTGATGAGGACTTGGATGATTTGTTGCTTTGCCTTCTCTGTGCGTCCAGGAGGATTCGTCGCCGCGGCCAGATCCAACTCGAAATCTTGGTCGGAGAACTGCCAGATATTGTGCAGTGGGCTATTTTTTACGATCGAGGGGAGAGGATGATAAGGGCGGATGATGCGGAGGAGCAAGAGGAGATGATACCCCCTGCCTCCGCTTGCGAGATCATTTTGCTCGTCTGGCCGCCTGCTGGGACTGTCCAGCTGGCCTTGTCTTCCGGGCCCAAAGAGACCAGATCGGAGGCGGCCGCGGCGTATTTTTTATATGAGCATCTATCGGCGCGAAAATTGGAGCGTAGTCTTTGCCGCATCTTATCCCACCTCTCCGCTTCCCGCTCTCCTCTCACATCCTCGTCCGTTTGGTCCCCCCTTCTTCTCCTTGCATCTTCCTGCCGTCCCGCGGCGAGGGAGATAATTGAGGAAGATCGAAGGGGGAGGGAGGAGGAGGGAGAAGAGTACGTACCAGTAGTATGCTGGCAGGCTGGTGAGGAGGTTGTGTCGAAAAAAGACAGGAATAGTATGAGGTGGAGGCGGAAGAGGTGGACGACGACGATGACGGCGACGACGATACCATGATAGAAAGCGGATGAGGACGGACGATGGAGACCAAAGGGTGTTGCGGACCGTGGGTATGAGGTGAGATGGGGAGGGAAGGTGGAGAGAGTAAACGGTGGTGGAGGGTCGATGAGGTGGAAAGGGATCATGACGAGGGAGGGAGGAGGGCGAGGGGGATGGAGGGGGGAGAGACAAGGCAGAATGGGGAGAGGGCAGGAGGGAAAGGTAGGCAGGTGGAGTGAGCGCTGAGTTGGGGAAGGGCGGGTGAGCGTGTTCTGTGTTCTTTGGCTGCAAGCGCCCGCACGCAAGGCGGGTGCCCCGCAGCACTCGGAACTCCCGTTTTGAAATGGAAGCGCCATCCATCCATCTAGTTATCATCGACGTTTAGAGGCAGGACAAACACGCTCAAGGCAGCGTCTTGCGAGAACTCCGTATGAGAGGGAATCGCCTTCCGCCCGCACAATTGGTCTTCCACTCTTTGTGGCCCTTCAGCACCGCCTGCGACACTGCGCTGCTGCTAGCCGCATCCAGACAAGACGGCCCGCGTTGCTGCCACTCGGCATGCCAACATGTGGACCAGTCAATCGCCGTGAGGGGTAAAGGCAAGCAACGAGAGACACTGCCGCCAACAGCTGGACAAGCTTCGTCTGCGCGTCCGAATCGAGCCGCGCGGGTGCTCTCCAGCCACGCAGCCGCCCAAGCGCCGTAACGGCCAGCTCCGCCCGCCGGCACCTACCCGCAAAGAGTGCCGAAGGTTGGCGGCTATGGCAGCATTGTTCAAGATGCAGAGCCAGGGAGCGCACCTGGCTGGCAGGCACCACCGGTGCCGCGGCGTAAGCGCACGCTGGGCACTATGTGCCGTCCCCGCGAGCAGTACCTTGCTCCCAGTAGCGAGGCTACATCAGCCGGTCGACACCACATTGGGTAGGAAGCACGTTCTTTCGCTCTCATTGCTGTGCTGTGCTGCTTCGAACTGCGACTCGGGCCCTGGCCGGCTCATCCAACGTACGAGCTGACCACCGATGAGCCGTCAAGGTTCCCCAGGGTTCACGACTTTCCATTCTAGCTGGGGCTCATGAGCCATGGGTGAGTGTGCCGAGCGTCCACTGCGATGGCCACGCGGTTTGTGCTCTGGCACTTCATTGCGGGTGGCCTTCTGAGGCCGAAGTTTTCCATTGTTTGGCAGCCCTGACTCGAATAGGAGCACGTGTGCGCGCCTACTGCCATTCTGGCTCACAGTCTGCAAACGGACTAACACACAGAAAAGACAAGGACCGCTGCTATTCTCTTACCATTGCAGCCATGTCTTCTACCTTTTCATCCATGCCACCTGCAATTCTAGTCCCGCGGTTTCCTATCCAAGCGGGGGTGGCTGGGAGGGAGGAAGGAGCAGAGGGACCAGGAGGAGGAGCCGGGACCAGGCTGGAGAAGGGGTGACGAGAAGG